GTTTGTGGATAGACTGGAAAGGTTTAAGACACGTGCGCGCGGCGCCAGTGCGATGGCCAGAATTTGGAAGCCACTAGTGCTCCGCCCATGTAGCGGCTGGAGGATTTTTCATGGGAATGCGGGCGGCGCTAAAGCAAGGGCCGTAGTTGAAAGCGACCCGTGTTACGAAATTACGCCGTGCTCTGACGGTATCCGTTTTTTCTCTAAATCAGATCGTGCCGATGTTTCATCTGTGCAGCTGTTGGCAGTCCTTGCGACAAATGTACGCGCGCTCATGCGAGAACATTGTTTTTACTGTGTAGTTCGTGGACGTATTCAAGACGAATCATTTAGAAGGCAACCTGCGCCACACCAGTGTATCTATGGCGAAAGCTGTTCCTGCCTCTAATTGTCCTCCCATCCTCCCTCCTCCCCCTCCTGCCCTCTCCCTTTCTCCTTCCCCTTCCACTCCTTTCCCCCTTTGCCACTCTCTCACCTCTCGCTCCCTTCCTCCTCCCGTTTCAGAGGTAGGGGTAGTATGTGCAGGCGTATGCTTCTGGTTCTCATGAGGCGCGGCAGCCATGGAAGCGGACAGAGCTGGCGAAGCAGCGGAACGAGCTGCAGAAACGGTGTCTGTCGCTGATCTGGGCGCTCAAGGACCTGCCGCGCGAGCGCGAGGTGCTGAGAGCGATCGACCAGGTGAGGGGCCAAGGACCAGGAGCAGCCGACCAGAGTACCGAGAGCAGTCAGCCGGTCAGGCATCTTACTTTGCTGCAGAGCGTCGCAAGGGCTGGATTCGAGGAGCCCGTGAGGATGCTCTGCGAGATCGGAGCCGCCGCGAACGCCAAGGACCCCAACGGCATGACAGCCCTGCACCACGCGGCCAGGTGCAACAACGTCTCCGTGACGAAGGCCCTCCTGGCGCGCGGGCACGCGCACGTGAACGCGCGGGACTCCCGGGGCCGAACCCCGCTGCACCTGGCAGCGAGCCGCGGCCACCGCAAGGTGTCGGGCGAAGAGCTGTGCACGCGCACTGGCCCTGGCCAGGCCCGTGCGGGCCCAGGGCCGGTGTATGTTGCCACCCTGGCCAAGCCCAGAGGGCGTGTGCACCGATCTTGGTCGCAGACTGGAGCCTGGTCAGGATCGGGGTGTGTCCTCCTCCCCCTCCTCCTCCTCTTCACCCTCCTCCTCCCCCTCCCCCTCCTCTCCTCTCCTCTCCTCCTCCTCCTCCTCCTCCTCCTCCTCCTCTTCCTCCACCTCCTTCTCCTGCTCCTCTTCCTCCTCCTCCTCCTCGTCCTCCTTGTCCTCCTCCTCCTCCTCTTCCTCTGCGTCCCCCTCCCCCTCCTCCTCCCCGTTCGCCTCCTCGTCCTCCTCCTTCTCCTCCTCCCCCCTTCCTCCTCCTCCTCGCCCTCCTCCTCCTCTTCTTCCTCCTCCTCCTCCACCCTCCTTCCCCTCCTCCTTCTCTTCCTCCTCCTTCTCCTCGTCCCCCTCCTCTTTCTTTGGTCGAAAGGTATGTCTTTTACACGTCATTGTTTTCTGCATTGCCAAATCGTATATATTCTTGCTTTCTGGATTGCTCGGGGGCACGGAAGGCACCTCTTTCCGTGCCCGTGTTGGACCCGCGTCTGACAGTTTATCGTGTTCGGAACAAGTGGCACGTGTGCCATGGCTCTTGCACAAAACGAAGGGGGAGGAGGAGGATGTGGAGGAGGAGGGGGGGGGAGAGGATGCCAGACATCGCAGAAAGAGTGGACAAAACAGGGCCGCAAGAGGGGCTCCAGAGGGCGAGCGCGAGGAGACTCCAAGGGCCGTCCCCCGCAAGATGGCTTCAAAGACCTTTGACGGGTTCCCAGGAAGCCTCCAACTGACGCCCGAGAAGCCTACAGAGGGTTCCAAGGGGAGGCCTCCAGGGTCCAAGGAGGGCTGGAAGAAATTACTGAGCGGATTCAGCTGCTGGGGGCTCGCGGTGCAAAGTGCGCGGCGGCCTTGTGTCGCGAACGCTTGTCCAAGGCAGTCGCTTTGCACGCAGAGTCTGTCGGGTGTATTCTCGGGGGCAGGCTATGCGCCACTTGAATGGGGATCCCCGATGTCCTAAGCGTTTTGTGGCGCTCGTGTGTTACTTCGCGAGGGCGGAAAGAAGATGGGCGGGGCGGAAGGAAACCATGCGGAGAAGGCCCCGCTGAGGCCGCGGGGAACACTGGGGGGAAGGGGCGAAAAGGGCGCACCGGGGCAGGAAAGACATTGGCCGGGCACTGGGGCCGCGGGGCACTGGACGGGCGCTGGAACCGTGGGGGCGCTGAGACGGTGTCCGGGAAGGGGCGGAGCAGGGAGGGGCTGCGGTGCCGAAATAAAGTGGTCGGGGCGGAGGGGGCGCTGGGCGAGCGCTGGAGCCGTGGGGGGCGCTGAGACGTGTGGGGGAGGGGGCGGAGGATGGGGGGGGGTGTCGGGGCGGAGGGGGCACTGGGCGGGCGCTCGGGCCGCGGGGGAGCGCTCAGACGGTGCGGGGGAGGCGGCGGAACGG